CACCTGAATGAAATTTGCTGAATCATCATTGACAATGTTCAAAACATTTCCATTAACTTCTTTGATATTCTTTGTGGCTACAGAGGCATTGTTTTGTTTCCCTTTTTGTATTCAAACAGCATTTCATGCCGAATTTATGTCTTGTCATGTGCCATCATTATAAGGGATTAGAGTATACTAAACTTTACACATTATATAGGCTACACTAACATTATGTTTAGGCAGTTCATTTAACTATTATACGTGATGTACGTTTTTTGGGGGGTGGTTAATGAAAGTGTTTCAAAACGTGACATTAATTTCTTGACAACCTAATATTTATATTAATTTTTAGAATAACTACAGATTATCTAGCCAGTGTTAATCTGACACTGTCTCTGAAACTGAAGCATTTTGACAATTTGTAGTTTGAGTGCTTTGTAATCACTTGTATTTTGCAGCAAAAATAAGAATTTCCGTAAAGAACTAACTTTTTCTGTTCCATTTTATATATTTGGAATAAAAATACACTACAGAAACAAAGTGAAACACTTTTTAAATCATTTTAGCAGTAAGTGGAATATTTGTTGAAATTTCTTGGTCATAGAGTCATGATTGATGTGTTATTCATGAAGCGTTGTTGATTACACAGCATTAAGACTGGGGATGAATCTTGCAGATGTTGCTGTCTAGTATATCATGAGAAGTTGTGGAAATTCCATATTGAGTTAAAAAGTTTTGGATGTTGTGTAATAAGCAAATTATTAAGAAAACAAAAAACAAACATAATTAAGCACACAGATTTATAATGTTTTTTATTGTCTTACTGAAACAAAGAAGTTCTTCCATATAATTAAAATGCAAGAATGTAGTATCCAAGATATGCAAATAGTAGGATTTAGTAATTTTTTCATATAATATATAAAAGTAACAATATAAATAACAACTAAGTCTGATAAAATTTCATGTAAACTTTTAAGTGTAATATTTTATATTTCAGAGTTGATACACCTAAATAAACCTATAATGTATTAATATAGATACAAATTGAAAGTTTTCAAGGCAAAGAGAGAAAGCACTAAATTTGTCTAGCTTTCATCCCCCCCCCCTCCTTTTTTTCTGAATAATAAAAGATTTGTTTCTCTGTGTTAGCGATGAAGAAGACCAAAATTACCTTGAAGTATTTAATACTGATTGGAAAAATTGGAAATTTGAAAAAGACTGGTCAACTCTTGTTGAGGAAGAAGAGGAAAAACGAAAAGTGGAGACCAGCCCTTCGGCAAGGTATTTTTAATAAGTAATGTTAAATGCTGAGATCCTTTTTAGCTACAGAAAAGGGTTAAAACTAATGAAGATCATTTACTTGAAATGTATTTTTTTTCTCTTACAGCAATTTTAACCAGCTATTTATTTTATATTTTATTTTCTCAGATTTTTTTGATGTTGTAATTGTATTTGATTGGTATTCTTTTTTGCATGTACAGGGAATCTCAAAATGTGCTTGCATTTCAATGTCTGTAGCAATCAGTTATTATACTTTTCAACTCCAGTAATGTAGTTGTAATTGTAGTTCACCAATGGCTAATTTGTAACTTATGTATGTATTTTACTAACCCTCTCACTACAGGCATTTTTCTCTGCACATTTCACAAGGTTTTAGTGAGTAACATACAAAATTTAAAGTACATTATTATCCTGATATACAAATAAACTTGGCATCAGAATGTAGCCAATAATCCAAATTCTAATACCATACAAAGTTTAAGTTCTTAATTTTTATAGCAATATTTAAAAATTTTCAATTTTCCATAATATGAGAATTGAGACATTTGCTCTCTAGATATCCCCTCTTCTCTAGTTTATTTACTATCGCTCCGAGAAGTATGAAATTTAATGTAAATTCCTTATTACAATGTTGTCATCATTCTGGCAACTCATATTTTTATAGCCTTC